TGGCAGTATTTTCTCTTCAAACTGCTTCCTTCAACGCAATTGGACAAATGTTCGGCACCAAATGAAGGATATTTTGGGACACTGGTATTTTGGTCCTTTGAGGGAACTCTAGGCACGTCTCTGATTGTAAGAGAACATTGTCAGTGCCATCTGTGCGACTACATTGCTCCAAGAATCCCTTGTTTCTTTCCTTGCATAATCCAGCATTGCCTTGAGTTGGACCTTGCTCAGTCTCTGACAAATTTTTAATCCTCATTTCTGTATTTGCTGACAAGGGTACATTCGCTTGCTCTTTCAGCAGGTATCTGTCAGTTAGCTTTTGATGCAATAGAAAGGCACCATCATCTGTGCTTCTGGGTTGCTGGTTTTCAACTGTAAATCCATCCTGCTTGCTGAAGCAAAGCTGAGTTTGTATCATAACATATGTTTGATGCACTGAGCAACTCTGTCAGCAACCCATTTCTATTCTGGATCTCCTGCAGATCGACTGTTTTGTTCTGGTCTTTGCATCTATTCTCTTCTAAATCAAAATTTAGAGCTCTCCTGCAAGATTTTCCAGTTGCTGTCACAGAACCTAAAGTCTCTATAACATCATCTTGTGGTGTTGTTGCTTCCTTCTTTGGGACCTTCTTTCGTACATACTTCTCTTTTGGGCTGGATTCTCCTTAGATTCTCTCTTCTTTCTAGTTTCAGGATTTGGAGTTCTTTTTGGCTTGCCTTCTACAATTACCTTCGGCCTATGTTTCTCTTCGTTTAGGTGGTTTCTGCTCAGGCGTCTTATTCAGATCAATATCTAGGCCATTTCCTCTACGATGATCATTTTCAGAACCCTCATTATTGTTTTGTGATTGAGAAAGTGCTGCAGATGTGTCGACAATATGCTGTAGAAGTCCATCGCAATATTCCTGGTGATCATTTGCTGCGGATGCAACCAAGTTGTCTAGCCTGTCTGTCACCTGAATTTGACTTTCAGCTGTTACATACTTCATAAACCGGTCATCTGTCGATTTATCAAACTGATCCATTGTTCGTGGCACTGATTGGAAGGAGTTGGTGAAACTGAAGACATCATCAGCTTCCGTGACGGCTGCAGAGTTTTGATCATACTTGGGTCTGCAAGGTATGTAAAAACCACCTGTGAAAATAGTCTTAGTTATTCATCAATCAGTTGCAAAAAAATTATAATGGGCGCAGCAAGGCATTGTTTGCGCAACAAGAAGAAATGGAGTAATTTGTTTTTTGAACATTGAAATCTTCATGAAATTTTTGCATTGTAGTTTACTATTAAAGACGTGGGAGGGATACCAGTTTCATATAATTACAATTTACGTTGGAAAAAAAATGGGGAAGTAAAAAATCAATTACATTCCTTGCAAGTGTTTATAATTTCAAGGCTTTCCATGTTTTTTTGGTAATTTAAACAGAAAGTTTTGATCAGTGTTTTAGACAAGAACACGTTTTTCTGGGTTTCCATTAATGCCAACTGATGCTGACTACATCCTTTCTTCTTTCCTTTGATTGCATTTCTGCAGACATCTCAACTATTTTAATTAAAATATAGATGATGTCTACCTTGTATTAACAGGTATGAAAAGGACTCATGCAAATTTATATTTTTATAAAAATTGAAAATTATATGTTATGGATCATAAAAATTCCCCAGGTATTTACTTCATAGTCAAATGCTCAATGCTTTAGGAGAAAATCTTGCTCAAAACGTTATCAGAATAGATATGACATGAAATTGATAATTTCTATATTTCCCGGTGTCAACCACATAAATTCCTTTAAACTAGAATAATAGTAGAAATGCAATGTCGCCAATAGCTGAAAGGATTTCTCTTCCCTCAGTAATTTTTATTGTAATTTAAATTGCAGAAAATAAATTACAAAAGGGATTAAATTACCATTGGGTATCTCTGACTCAGATAGGCTACTATTCAGCAGGCTTGAGAATGAGCAGTGAGGGTCATTGTTCAGAAAATCATATAAGCTGCTGCTATCGCATTCAGAATTTTTATTTGGGACCAAAAGATTCGCATCTGTGTACGCTGTATCTGAATCTGCATAGTTCTTGTTTTCGTTGACGGTGAAAGCATCTGCATTGAAATCTCTCCCGTTGCTTCTTGTGTGAGGATGAAATTTTGGAAGCACTGGCGTTCTTACTGCCATGCTTATATTTTCACTCAAGTTACTGTCAGCATAACCATTGTTACGTGCATTATTCATGAAGAGAAGTTCCAAAGTATTCAATCTATTGCCTTCAAAGTCCACATCAATGTCATCGATGACACTGGCTCTCTCAGAAGGAACCCCATCAAAATAATTGTACTCTTCATTATGTCCTATTAGGTGCACATTTTGATGTAGAACATTATACTGCAGCATCTCTTTCATGTAGCCACATCCAGAAACAGTTGACTTTTTCAAATTCCCTCCTACCATTTGGCTTTCCTGCCAACCTGCCGATATTGTATCAGGCCTTATTTGAACTGGCTTCTCAGGGGTGACAGGTACCCAAGAACCATTCATCTGAACTTGTTCCTCTTCCAGTGTAAAGAGTTTTTCTCCCAAGTTCATCATTGGAATTCTGGAAATTACAGGCAATATGACAATTTAATATTTCTTTCACCATTGCTTGATGTATTTATGGTAAGTTTGATACCATGTTAAAATTAAAAGGCTAAGAAACAACTGTAGACCCTAAAGCTCATTGTACTAATGGATAAGTTTTTCAAATAAGACAAGGTTTCAAAAGAATGACACTGCAAAATACGGGCACAATTTTATCCTGCCACGCCAGTTCTACTGATTCAATATTATATATACCTAATACATGTGATTCACAAGCAACTGATTCAAACATTTAGTTTTTGACAGAGCTCAATGGCATCGTGCAATCCATGTAACCAAACCCACCTAGTGGGATAAGGCTTTTTTTTTTTTTAGACTGAATAGTGGGATAAGGCTTTGGTGTTACAAACAGGAGATAGGCCTCATAATACAGTTAACCTAAAAGTACCATTTGCCCTCAAACTACTCGTAACGAGTGTATTTTATTGGAAGTGGGATGCCATAACCCTGAGCTATTTTGGTGTTGTATATATACTTATATATACCTATAATTATTCCAACAAATTGGATTCAGCAGGGAATGACACTGGGGGGAAAAATTCTCTAACCCTATCAAAAGCAAATTATGACATAACAGCGTAGATAAATTTTCCTTTTTGATCATATGAAGGAGCCAACGTAGCTTATAGAGTTTCTACTCCTTCAAGCTAGGTAAGATGACATGCTCCAAAATTGGGGGTGTTAAAATGCCAAGTCCGAAGTACCCAAACAATTTCATTCCAAAAAAAAAAGGAACCCAAACAATGTTAGTAATGAATGAAATATTTTCAAGGAGATTGAATATATAAACAATTAATACACACACACACACACATATAAACACGAATATGTCAGGTATGCTTTCTACATTTTCTTTTGATACACACAAAAACAAACAAGAAGATACTTGAACTCCAAACTAAGCAAGGAAAAGATAAATATTCAAGAATGAGTGTACCAGGCTGACAAGTGTGCTTTGAAGAACCAACCACCAATAGTTGATAGAATATCCTAACAGATGAGAACGCAATAGAGGATCTCACCCGCGATTTGTTGCAATGTCTTCAACTCTTTGAGAATGAAGAAATTCCAGAGCTAATCTTGACAATGGAATGTGCAATAGCCGCAAAATGCTACAGGTTCTAAAGCACCTCAGACTCAGATCCACCTCTTGCTAGATTCTGCAGGAGGTTGCAGAAATTCCAACGCATGCATCAGTTTCTCTGTTTTATCCCATTCCGCAATCCAAAACCTGCCAAAAACCCCCCACCACATTTCTGACCATTGCAACAAATTGAAGAGAAAGAAGGAAAACCCCTCTCAGTGGTAATTCAATAAATTCATGATTTAAATGCTGGAAAGTGAACGGCTTTGGTATTTTCCTCAGGTGGGAATGTTGCCCAACAACCAAAACCAAAACAAAAATCAAGGGTGATTATGAATGTTACTAAATTGACTGATTAAAACCCTGTATTAAATACACAGGATTTCTGCTACAATCTTGAGAATCTTTGACATGAATGATCATATCAAACACTTTCTGGGTTCTGTCTATCTTCTACCAATTAAGTTCTCCAACTTAACTAGCAGGGAAAATGGGATTAGAGAATAATATCTCTTGGAGCTAAGCTGACCGATCCAAAGTGAGTCATCTCACAGGGCATAGTCAATGACGGAATTAACAGAGTCAGTCTTTTAGAGAGAGAAAGAAGAGTGAAGGGAAGGAGAGAGGGGGAGGGAAGAAGGTAAGAAACCTACCAGTTAGGATGCTTACAAATATATAATTAATATTTAAAGTCTTTCTTTTTTGTTTGGAACACTGTGAGTATGAAATGGGTACTCTTTTTCTTATTCCAGATAACTTTTATTTTTTCCCCTTTATTCTCTTGCCACATCAAAACAACTTTAAACTGTACAAAAATTAATATATATATATATATATATATATACTGTAACTCTTTTAAAAATAAAATAAGAGTTTTATCGACATTTTACCCCATAAAATGCACTAATTCTCATGTTTTACAATTTCGGGTCAAAATTGGAAACATGCGGTTCGGGGTATTTCATTACATGGCTCACAAATTGATTTAATATTTGGGGAAGGTTCACTAGCTCTCATTTTGGCTTAGATATCAATCAAGTAATATGCACACACAAAAATGTATATCTAATTCCTTAATTCTACACAAAATTTTATTTTAGTCTTTTAATTTTGTAAGAAATCTTTTCAATCTCCTAACTTACTTTTAAATACTAACATATTAAATTTAATTTTTTTAAAATAGCAATAATTGGTAGAAGATTAAAAAAAATACTTTATGAAACTAAGCAATCAATTGAAATTTTGTATAAAATTCAAAGACCTACTATGCATTTTTACTTCATTAATATTATAGTTCTATTTTGTGGGCAAGGACAGTTAATCTCTAACACACACTTATTGTTACCCAAGTGATAATGTAATTACTGTTTTTATATGATAAATAAATCAATTACTTCATCTTTATAGTGAGGGGTTATCTGTTGAATAAATCAGGCACATTTATAGGATCTTTTGTTGATAGATAAAAAAAAATCTAATTTAACTAAATAAATTGAATCCCATTAAACTCGTTCAACCCCTTGACTAATTAAGAAATCCTGCCATGATCTTAAATTCTATATTTAACTAATTTTATTTTTAATCTGTAAAAAATAGTTTTTTTTTAACAATTTTTTGGCTGGAGTTATCTTATTGAGTAGGTTCATATTGTCATGGGCACCCAAAAAAAAAAAGTAGGTAGTTATGATTTTGAATTTGTTGAAACAAAATCTCCGATTTGATATTATAGTGATTTTGAAACTAACAAATTAGGATGAATGTTTTAAAATATCTTAACTAGCTTAATTGAAAATCTAACATTTCTATTTTTTTTACTGATTATTAAAACATGATTTGGAATAGTAATTAAATTTCTGATTATATATCTAAATTTTTTATTTGCATACTTTTAACATTAGGGTTTTTAACATTTATATAGGCGTGAAAGTAAAAATATATTTTAATTCTAATAAATTCTCCTTCATTATGATCTTCATAATTTTAAAATTTATACTTTCCATATTAAAGTTTGAAATGAATTTAATTTGTGAGCTAGATTTCTAGACTTTTGTTAATTTAATCATAGTTAAATATTAAAAGATATTTCGAAGGTTAAATGGGACCAAAATTGAATGATTTGAATATACTCATTTATTCCAAAGAAAGTATATATGAAATAAAATGAAAATATTTTGTTAATGTAAGATTATTAACAGCTAAATAATTCAAATTGAATATAAATAGGTTTGATATATTCAATACGAGTATATTTTACGAATTCAAATTAAAATAGGATTATGAATAAATGGTATTCTACGGAGGAAATTATTCTTATTTAATACTCCTTCTCCCGTCTTTAATATAGAACCTAATTGTTGAGTTGGTTTTTGTCCTAAATATAATACTCATTTATCATATTTATCAATTTTCTCTAAATTGTCCCTATGGATACTCCCTCAACCATAATCAAGTAGTAAAGGGAGAGGGGGTATTAAGAAAGATAATTATTATATTTTAGGAAAAATATGTCACTTTTCTTATAATTAACTAACTTACCTAACTTTTTTAATCTAATCAAATTAGTTAAATGGGTCTTATATTAAAGATCGAAGGAGTATATTATATGAATAGAAATACCTTGAGTTATCACACACACTGTTTTCTCTTTACCATTATTATAATAGCAACTTCCTATATATATATATATATATTAAATTTCAAATTACAAAAAAAAAAAATCATATAGCTTCTCAAAGCCGCAAATAAACAGGAGATATCTTTGTATCTCTCAAATTACCCTTTCTCTGTAGTTATTGCAACTCGCTTGATGTGTTTAAAGTTTTAAATTAAAAACACTGAATCTGGTACAAGTCATGTGATTCAGGTTAGCCAATGAAAAAGATCCACGTGTATCTTATAAAGTATATCTTAAGTTTTCAACGTTTCATATACTCCTCCGGTTCTTAATATAGGACCCAATTCTTAAGTTAGTTCTGGTTCTAAATATAAGACCTATTTCTCATATTTATCAATTTTCTCTAAATTATTCCTATGGATACTCCTTCAACCATAATCAAGTAGAAAAGGAAAAGGGAGTATTAAAAAATATGATTATGGTGTTTTAGGAAAAATGTATCATTTTTCTTACAATTAACTAACTTACCTAATTTCTCTAATCTAATCAAATTAGTTAAATGGGTGTTATATTAAGGACCAGAGGAATAATACGTAAATTCTTAATATAAGACCTAGTTAACTAATTTGAAAATATTAAAAAAATTAATTAAGTTAGTTGTTTATATTTATTATAATATCTTTACTGATTATGTATACTCTATTAACTAAAATTATCATTTGATGAAATATTTAATATATACAATTATTACAAAGACTATTTAAAAGAACATTGGATAAATAAAAAAATAAAATAGATTGTGATCTTATATTTAAAATTAAATTGAAAGTCAAACAAACTATTATTTAAAGATGGGAAGAAGTAGTATTATTTAAATTTAAAACTTAAAAATCTTAGAAACCTAGAAATTTATGCAAGTGCACTGACTACAAGAAATTTATGCACCAATATTATTTGCAAGCTTGCGGCTGTGGATTGATTACAAGTGTAAAAAAGAGACCATAAAAAAGCATCTATTACCTAGAAATTTGCTATATCAGTTGACCGAGGCTTTAGTACTTTTCAAAGTCAGTCATTTAGAGAGAGAAGGAAGAAGAGTGACTGGGAGAAGGAGATAGGGGAGGGAAGAAGGAAAGAAATCTACCAGATAGGATGCTTACAAATATTTAATTAATATTACAAGTCCTTTTTTTTTTTAGCACTCTTGAGTCTGAAATGGGCACTCTTTTTCTTATTCCCTATGACTTCTATTTTCCCCCTTTATTCTCTTGCCACACCAAAACCACTTTAAACTGTACTAAAATTATGGTACATATGGTATAATTCTTTTAAAAATAAAATAATTTTTTTGCCGAAAATAAACATAAGAGTTTTATCAACATGTTACCCCATAAAAAAACACTAATTCTTATGTTTTACAATTTTCTGGGCAAAATTGAAAACATGCGTTCTGGGTATTTCATTACATGGCTCATAAATTAATTTAATATTTGGGGAAGGCACACTAGTTCTCATTTTACCTTGGATATTAATTAATATGTAAAAAGGTATATTTGACCCCTTATTTCTAAAAAAAAAATTATTTTTGTCCTTTAATTTTGTAAGGAATCTTTTCAATGTCCTAACCTCTAACATTATTATTTTCATTAACAAGAGATGGTGACATTAAAATTTTTGAATATTGACAAAATATTTTTAAATATTAAGTTTATTTTTTTAAAATAACAATAATTGGTATAAAAGTTATCATTTGAAACTAATGGTACTTGGGTCAGAAGATTATAAAAAATACTTTATAAAACTAAGGAGTCAATTGAAATTTTGTATAAAACTAGAAGATCTAATAGGCATTTTCACTTCATTAATATTATGGCTCTATTTTGTAGGCAAGGGAAGTTAATCTCTAACACTTATTGTTGCCCAAGTGAATGTTTTAAAGACTCGTATTTTAACCAACTTAATTGAAAATATAAAATTTCTATTTTTTTACTGATTATTAAAACATAATTTGGAATAGTAATTAAATTTCTGAACATGTATGTAAATTTTTTATTTACATACTTTTAACATTAAGGTTTCTAACATTTATATAGGTGCGAAAGTAAAAAATATATTTTAATTCTAATAAATTATCCTTAATTATAATCTTCATAATTTTAAAATTTATAATTTACATATTAAAATTTCAAATGAATTTAATTTATGATCTTCATTTCTAGTCTTTTGTTAATTTAACAATAATTAAATATTAAAAGATATTTCAAAGGTTAAATGTGATCAAAATGCAATGATTTGAATATATTGATTTATTACAAAGAAAGTATATATGAAATAAAATGCAAATATTTTCTTAATGTAAATAAGATTATTAAAAAATAAATAATTCAAATTGAATATAGAAAGGCTGGATATATTCAATTCGAGTATTTTTTACTAATTAAAATTTAAATAGGATTATAAATAAATAATAAATCTGCGGACGAAATTATTCTAATTTAATATATTATATGAACAGAAATACCGTATCTCTGTAGTTATTGTAACTTGCTATATATGTTTTTGAAGTTTTAAATGAAAAACACTAAAACTCGTGTAAGTCATGTGATTCAGGTTTCCTGTTAGCCAATGAAAAAAGGTCCACGTGTATCTTATAAAGTGCATCTTCACTTTCCATGTATTATTTAAATTTAAAATTTAACACTTCCCAAACAATCATCAATTATTTCTAATTGATTTAATTAGATGAATTATTTCTTTTTCCGGGTTCTAGATTTACAATTTTATACCTTTTACTTTGAATTTTACTCTTTCTTTACAATTATCCATGGCTTTTATTTGAATTTATTGGTTGAATCATTTGAATTTATTTTGAATTTTAGATTTTAAATTTAGAATTAAGATTTTTGAACTTTTTACAAGTCCAGGAAATTACCATTTCCTTTATTCATGGATTAGTTTGAATTTCATTTTAAAGTTTGGAATTAAGATTTTGAATTTTGTTTACAAGTGTGA